TGGTTTAGAGAGACGATTCAAAGTGGATAGAATATGCAGAGGTACATGGTTATACAACTAAAATTGTTAATAATAAATTAAGTGAATTATTTGCAAGATTTGGTTTGCCGGACAAAATAGTGTCTGATGGAGGTCCAGCCTTCATAAGTGAAAATTTTAAACAATTCTGTGATGAATTAAAAATACAACACATACTTACTCCACCTTATCATTCTAGCTCGAATGGGCAAGCTGTAAGGATGGTAGCTATTGTAAAAAATTGGATAAAAATGGCTAAACAAGAAAAAAGTGATATTTGGTTAGCGCAATTATTTTACAATAATTCAAAAAATAAGGAGGGAATTACTCCTGTAGAGTTATTTATGAATAGGAGAACAAGATTTCTTTTGGATTTTTTAACACCAAAAGGAAGTAATAAAATATTACCTTGTGAAAAGGCCATTATAAAATTTCCGGTGGGAGAATTAATATGGGGTCGTATTTTTGATAATAAAGATCAGAAATGGGAGAAAGGTATTGTACTTGAAAATTTTGGATTAAAAATGAGTAAGGTTAAATTTTGTGACGGAAATATTGGGATACGTCATAACGACCATATGAAAGTAAGGAATTAATAGTGAATATATTGATTGTTAATTTTTATTTATTATGAATACCATATAAATGTATATATTGGTTATAAATCATTAATATTTAAAAAATACTCTATTAAATTAGATATATTTATTATTAATTATTGGGAGAATATTAGTGAATATAGTTCCAATAAATGCTTAATTATTGAGAAAAGTTAAGTTTAAATTGATTGGGAATTTAATTAGTGATTTATATATATTGTGCATATATGTATATAAATTATGAAAATTTCTTAAATGTTCTCCATTAATTCTAAATTATTAATTATTGGGAAAATATGAGTAGATATAGTTTCAATAAATGCTTAATTATTGAAATTTATATAATGTTTTCCATTAATTATGGAATTATGTTTTTAAATTGTGATTTAAAATTAATTTTGAGAAAAATATGAGTGAATATATAAAAAAATACTTAAAATACAAACTTTTAAATATAATTAAATTCATATTTTTTAAATTAACATGTGCAAAAATGAGTTAAATAAAAGAAAAATTTTCCAGTGGGAATAGTGAATTAAGTGAGATAAAAATTTATTATTATAATCTTTGATAAAACAGTTATAATAGAAAATAAAAAAAAACTTAAATAAGATAATCGATCTCCAGTGGTGTGAAAAGAAATAAATATGAGTGTATATATATTTATTTTTGTTTAAAAAAAAAAGTAGTGTTCTTAATTGGTTTAAAGGACCAAATGTGAAAGAAAAGAAAATATTAAAATATGTTAACAAAATAAGTGTATATATGTCACAAAATTTATTTTACAAATGTTAACAGAATATAGTATATATGTCACAAAATTGTATTTACAAATGTTAACAAAATATTATATACATGTCACAAAATTATATTTACATATTATTATTAAATTTTACAACATTATATTTACATAATTATATTAAATTATAACAAATAATAGCGTAGATCACAAATTTATTATAATATGTAGTTTAGTATGTAAATGAAAATTCAAATTTCATTTGAGACCAAAATATTGAGTAATTATGTTGGGAAAGAAGTTATATTTAGATTCATATATTTTGATTATAATATTTTGAAAATATATTTATCATATATGTTACATATAACCCGGATGTGTTGGAAGATAAGAAAATGATTGAAATATGGGAGTAATGTTGACCAAGAGCTATGACACAAATGAAAGGCTTGAAGATTATGAAGGAATGATATCAAATAAATGAAGATTTGGAGATTATGAAAATGAAGCGAATATATGTAATTATATTTAGGGATAATGGAACACGTGGCCTATGAAGGGTGGGCGTGTTGTAGTTTTGTATTATTATGATATATATTTGTACATATATATTATAAAATGTCAATCAAAAAGAATATATTTTATTTATTAGTTATTTTATCGAGAATTGATATTCAAACACTTGGTATTTTTTTGTTTACTTTTTTGACTTTTAATAAATATTATTATACGATATGAATTTTTTTATGTTTTAAAATGAAAAACAAAAACTTTTATGAGATGAAAATTATTTTAATTTGATGTTTTATTTTGAAAATAAACTATGGGAAATATTGTAATTTGAATGGAATTAAAGAAATAGTAAAGTATTGTTAAATATAAAAATTGTTGTAGTTTTGTATTATATTTGTACATATATATTATAAAATGTCAATCAAAAAGAATATATTTTATTTATTAGTTATTTTATCGAGAATTGATATTAAAACACTTGGTATTTTTTTTGTTTACTTTTGACTTTTGATAAATATATTATACGAGAAAAATATGATTGTTCTTGTTTTATTGAAATGAAAAAAAAAACTTTTATGAGATAGAAATGATTTTAATTTGATGTTGATTTTGAAAATAAACTATGGGAAATATTGTGATTTATATGGAATTAAAGAAATAGTAAAGTATTGTTAAATATAAAAATAGAGCGCAAATTTCAGTAACACAATTTTTATTTTTTTCTAGACAACTCATCACCGTTAAATAAAGGTTCCATAAACTAATACTTTTCAATTTTTTTAATGCTGATATTCTATTTTAAAATATAAACTATTACCATGAAAGCAACGGAATTACAGTTACGTAAAAATTAATTAATCATCATTACTAGATAGTGGAACATAGGTAAATAAAAAATTTGTAAACTCACGTTCTTAAAAAATTAAACTACATTCATGAATATGAATAAGCACTATGATTTTTTTCCAATTCGTAAAAATTATTCATCGTTTTTCCCACTTTTCTTTTGATTCCATTTGTAAGGAACTTTTTACCTATTTCTTGTTCTATTTTTCTTTTCAACCTTCAAACCTTTAACTACTGCTTTTAATTCTGATTAGAAGACCTTTGCAACTATTTTCCCAATAGTGTTACATTCATTTCCTCATCAATTATCCACATCGTTACCTCTAATGTTGTTAAATGGCTCGATTTATCATTATAATTTTGAATTAAGATTCTAGCCAAAATTAAATTACGCAAGCCTAGAGATTTCGTTAATAGATGTCAAAACCTTTTTGCCATCTATGAGAAAAATCTCAAGGATTGCCTAATTTTTTTTGGCCAAAAAATTGGGAAAATTGTTTTTAAAAATCGAGCCATAAAAACACTAATAACCTTCTTTTTATATATACGTGTTTCTCACACAACTTATTCGATCGTATCATGGACACTAAAATTATCTAACCTTAGTGATTTGTGCTAAAGATATAGCCAACGTAATTTCTCATTTCAAAAAAGTCCAACATGTTCATTTAGATGTAGACAACTACTAATTTCTACCCTATGAAGTAAATCTTAACGCAAACGTCAACAAAAGGAATTTCATTAGTTTTTACCAATCTATATGACATAGTTCAAACTTCTTTAGCTATTCGATGATCACTTTCAAATACTTTTGATATCTAAAAGTTAGTTGAATATCTTGATAGCAGGGTTGATATCCTCTCTCAGAATAAGCACCACATTTATTCAGTTAATCACTAAACACAATAAATGGGCATTACTAAGAAAATTGATTAATTTCTAATTACAATGATTTACAAAATTTTGTAATTGATTAATGATTCCTTTTTTAAAAATTATAATTGATTTCTAATCAAAATAATCGTGATTTTATAGAGTAATTATAATTACATAATTTTCAATGAGAGTCTGGTAAAAATCGCGTCCTTGACTAGGGGGAGTTTTAGATGGTTAAAATTATCTTTAAAATCTAATTGTCTAGGTAACCTATCAGTGGCATTACACCTTGTGTTTTTGTTCCTCCATAGGTCGCTTTTAATCATTAAGCAACGTACCACCATTTTGTGGTCAGAAATATTAATGGTGGTTATTGCTTTAACATCAAAGAACCAACTGTGAATATTTGATTAGATAAAATCGATCTGTGAGGAATAATTATTCCTATAAAAGGTATAAATGTGTTGATTTTTGTGTTTGAAGAAAGTATTTTCAATCATCAGACCATTATTTTTGCATAATTCAAGTAGGGAAAGGCTGCCCGACCTATTTGTGCTAATCATCGTAAAATTTCCAATAGTTTTGTTTTTTATATACATCTCATCTTTTCCTATTTTGGTATTAAAATCACCTAGGATTATCATATTGTATCTCTTTGGGAGTGTATCAATGACGTTTACTAGTTCATCGAAGAAATGTATTCTTTCCTTTAAGTTTGGGGGTGTATAAATATTCAGAAGTATTGTTGGCTTAAAGGCCGTATTTAAGTAAAGGGCCGCCATCCTTTCAGAAATTGGGACAAATTTTATGATATATTTAAATAGATTGTTTTTTACTAGAAAGGCGGTACCCGACCATTTATTTATAGTAATACCCGAGTTTAGCAGAGACCGTTTCTCTCGTTTCCGAATAAATAGTTATTTCATTTTCCCTTTTATTTTATACTTGAGTAAAATTTTATTCTTAAATTTAAAATTTGTTTTTTATATAAAATTCTTTTTTGTATTTAACAACCAAACATTTTTCCTCTATTTTTTAACGTACTTACCCGAATTCTAGCGTATTGTCGGAATAGAGGTTTTAGTCCCAGATATATCAGCTCCCATTTCCATAAAACAAACTTATTCCCCAAACATGTTAGAAATTAAAGGTCCCTTAAATATATCTACGTATAATATAAACGGCTTACATAATAAAATATAAATTTTTATCAAACTACTCTCTCGAACGAGAATATTGACATAATCGCGTTACAGGAAACTCACCTAAGAAACGATATGAAAGCAGTGTTTAGGGATTTTTCTCTGCTAAACTCGGGTATTACTATAAATAAATGGTCGGGTACCGCCTTTCTAGTAAAAAACAATCTATTTAAATATATCATAAAATTTGTCCTAATTTCTGAAAGGATGGCGGCCCTTTACTTAAATACGGCCTTTAAGCCAACAATACTTCTGAATATTTATACACCCCCAAACTTAAAGGAAAGAATACATTTCTTCGATGAACTAGTAAACGTCATTGATACACTCCCAAAGAGATACAATATGATAATCCTAGGTGATTTTAATACCAAAATAGGAAAAGATGAGATGTATATAAAAAACAAAACTATTGGAAATTTTACGATGATTAGCCCAAATAGGTCGGACAGCCTTTCCCTACTTGAATTATGCAAAAATAATGGTCTGAAGATTGAAAATACTTTCTTCAAACACAAAAATCAACACATTTATACCTTTTATAGGAATAATTATTCCTCACAGATCGATTTTATCTTATCAAATATTCACAGTTGGTTCTTTGATGTTAAAGCAATGACCACCATTAATATTTCTGACCACAAAATGGTGGTAGGTTGCTTAATGATTAAAAGCGACCTATGGAGGAACAAAAACACAAGGTGTAATGCCACTGATAGGTTACCTAGACAATTAGATTTTAAAGATAATTTTAACCATCTAAAACTCCCACTAGTCAAGGACGCGATTTCTACCAGACTCTCATTGAATATTCAGCAATTCTTGCAAAGCAATCAAAATTCAACTTTAGAAAAATGTTGGAGTGATTTTAAATGTATCTTGCTGTCTACTTGTAAGGACTTCACGAATATTAGAGGCCCTCCCGTCAGTGATTGGGTTTCCCCGATTACGGCGTCTAAGATTGCTGAATTGAAATCTAAGAGTCACAGGGACAAGGATTTATGGAAACAAATTCAAAGACTCCTAAGATCAGATAGGCGCAAATATGTTGCTGAGAAGGCTAAGAAGATCGAAGTAGACATGAAGTGCAATAAATTGTACGATGCATACAAAAAATTAAAGCTTTTCTGCAAATCTTCGAACTTTAGAAGTCTCCCGAAACTGAAGATAAATAACAATATTATATGTGACCCCGAGGAGCAGATGAAGCTCTGGTTGGACCATTATTCGTATATGTTTAACTCTGAACATCTAGTTTCATTTACAGAGTGCGACCAAATTCCTCCTAGTTCAAATTTTACAACTGGGGAGATTAAGAGGGCTATCCTTAAACTAAGGAACAACAAAGCGACGGGACTGGATAACATTAAAGCGGAGCACTTAAAAGTCTCTCCTGATTACATTTCTGTGTTTTTACTTATGGTCTTCAACAAGATCTGGGCTTCTGGTGTCACTCCTAGAGAATGGAACTTATCCTTCATTTGCAACTTCCCTTAGGTTCCTAATCCTTCTACTTTTGACGACTATAGAGCGATTGCGCTGACATCTATCGCCTCTAAAGTATTCATGGTACTTCTAAGGAACCGTATATTAAATTCTACAAACCACCTGTTATCAAACAATATTTGTGCATATAGACCAGGCAGAAATATCCTGCAACCCATACTAGCATTAAAAATCACTCTACAGAAATGCTATAGATATAAGCTCCCTTTTCTATTCATCTTCGTAGATTTTAGGAAAGCTTTCGATTGCATAAAACACGAGGTTCTGTGGAAAATCCTAACAGATAGTGGTGTGGATGTAAATATAGTAAGAATCCTGAGTAACCACTATAGTTCATTGATGGCTACCTTTAAAGTAGAAAATATTCAATCTCCATCCTTCATGGTGCGGAAAGAAGTTAAGCAAGGATGCGTCTTATCTCCAATTCTATTCAACATCATTATGAACAAAATAATTGCGGATACGCTGGGAGCGTTTAATCTTTTAACTTTATCCAGTCGCGACAACCTAAACTTGAAACATCGTATAATCTCCTATGCTGACGACATAGTAATAATTACTAAATCTCTAGAGGAGGCCTCTTGTATTCTTGATATACTTAAAGCTTATAGTGGAGAGATAGGATTAACTATAAACATGAATAAAACAGTCGTTATGCCCTCTCCATGGGCAGAGACAAACCTGGTACGGACAACGGAATTATTGGGGATTAGATCGGTTAAGGAGTTTAAGTACCTTGGAGTAAATCTGGATAATAAAGGACACATAAAGAATGAGGTAGAATTAAGATTGAAACACGCGAAAGCAGTGTTTTACAAATATATTAAATTATGGATGATCAGGGAGATCTCGGTTAAGAGCAGACTACAAGTTTTCAACTCTATGATCATTCCTATTCTTCTATATGGAAGTGATACGTGGGATGTCAACAAGGCCCAGATAAAGAAGCTTCAGGTGTTTGTAAATAGATGTCTGAGACTTATTAATGGATATATATATCCTAGAGTCATTTCAAATGTAAGTCTATGGAGTTTATCCAAACATACTCCGGTAGCAGTCCAACTCAAAAAGAGAAGAGTTCAACTGTTTGCTCATATTATGAGGAACGCGGATAATAATTTAGCATTTGAGGCCCTTAGTTGGCTCTCGATATACAAAAACAAGAGCTACTACAAATACAAAACGTACTGGCTAAACAAAACCCTAACAGATATCGTAAAGATGAATATTAGCCTAACGCAATTCACCCAGATAAATAATAATAAAAACGCGATAAATAAACTGTTAAAAATAAAGGCCAATTACCTTATTGACCACTAACCTCCCCCCACGATAATACGTTGTGACTTTATCCATTCCTCCCTGTCCCCATCATTACTTCCTCCCTGTCCCCATCATCACTTCATCTATATATTTAAAGCCAATTTTTTTTTTCTCTACACTCTTCATGGACGATCATTCGATTTTATTTTCCTATACGTAAGTTCTGATACCTTATTTTCTTTTAATATTATTATATTAATACTATATGGTGTATATAAGTCAATCTATATTACCTTTTAGTATCTTTAGTATATATATGTAAAGATCTCTCTCAACGCAAATTAAAATAAAATTAAAATAGCCAATATTACCCTTCCTGTAACCAAAAAGTTTATTTAATCGGGCATGGGCTTTTATTTCTCTTTTTATTTCCCATGGGCGTTTAAGTAAGAGGTTTTGCTTCTTGCGCGCACAGGTAACCGCGGCCTGCCAATAAAACGTGGATGGTCCTCTTAATTATTTAATTAGTTCCCATCTTCTATCCCAATTAGATGGGTTTTTTCTTGAGAGAACCAAGCGTTGCTCTGTTGTATATATATATTTTGATATATATACGACATTATAGGGCTAGTGCGCTTAATTTCACGTATCACATAATTACAATCTTATTCATATATTTTTTTATACATTCTAAATGTTAATCTTTAAGATGAGTAAGCATCTAAAGTTGAATATCATTAATTGGATTTGAGGTAGAAGTGAAACTCTGGAAAAATCATCCTTATTGTTTTAGACAATCTCAGGAATTTTTACTTTTGGATTACTACAGATATTATTAAAGATTTCAAATATAATAGTCTAGATATTGATTAAACCCATCTAAGCCTAAAATATGGGACATAAAATAAGAGCGAAAAAAATCTGGGTTGTTTTAAAATTATTCCAAAATTGAAAGCTCTTATATTAAATCCGAGAATTATAGTCTTTAAATGAGGAGCACAAAGTGGCGGAAGGGGTTTGTAATTCTAATAAGATTTCTTTCATCTTCAACCACTTTCTGAGATTAGAGCAACAATATTGATAGTATAGGACTTTTGGCCTCCTTAACCATCCTAGTAAAGTTAATTGTTGACCATTTGCTCTTGATAATTCAAAGTTTAAGCTGTGAATCTGATCCGGTATCATCAATCTTTGCAATCAATCGATTCAAGGCTGCTATGGACTAGTTTCTCCGTTAGAAAATTCCTTCAAAAACCTTGTAGCTCTCCATAATGCTTTCCTTGCCTTCAAATTTTGTATTAAACTCAAGTCATCAACCACGAGAGGGACAATTTTTTTATATTATTATTTTATCGGAGATCTACAGAGATAAAAATTTTAGGGCACGAGCAGGATTTAAATTTCAAGCCCGTTATCGGCAACCCGACCCGGATATTTTGGTTGACACTTTATTTTGACTGTTACAAATGGAAAATCAAAAATATGAGGGGGAGTGATAAATATTGAATGCTTCCATTATCTGATTTTTACCAACTTTGAAATTGATATATTTTTCAAAATCGTCAGACCCGGATTTTTCAATTTTTAGTAATTTTAAAATTATAACATATTTTTGATCAGGGTTCTGAGGCAGTGTAAAATTTATTAAATTAAAATGGCCTTTAAAAAAAAAGTGACAAAATTTTATAATTAATTTTAATAAAAAAAAATATATTTGTTCGATTAGATTTTGCGAAAGAAAACCAAATAATATGTCTAACTTTTAATAAAATATATTTAAGAACTAATTGACAATTCGTGACAAAATACTTTTTGACATGTCCATATATAACTTCGCGTTATTAATTATGGATTCATCCGAATTTTAGGTGTCTTTTTTTAAAAATTATTATTATTTATTATTGTTTTTTTAGAAAACCAAATAATTTTAGAAAATTAGAAATTTTATAATGCATATTCACATATAATTCGTGAAGAAAACCGGGGGGCAAAGGTGAAATGGTTTTTTTTTTGAGAATAATCTGACTACTACACAGTTTAAACTGAACTGTATATTTTGGCCCAATTTAATTATTCGCCGATATCCAAAAATGTTTATCGAATTATTCGTAATTCGATATTATTCGATTCGATTTATGAAGAATATCGAATATGAATAAGGGAAATATATTATCTATCCAATAATTTTTTTATCCATTATTCTATTGAATGAATCGAAATTATTGGCATATTTTAAAATTAATAGTATATTATTAGAAAATAATTTTTAAGTATTTCTAATCCTTAAATTTTTCAAAATTATTCATAAACATTTCAAATTATTTTTTAATTATTTAACAGGTTCTTTGCGGAACTTTTAATTTTTTTTCTTCCCACAATCTATAAATCTCTTATTTTAAATTTTATTTTTATGGTTAAATTTTTGAATCGAATTGAATATTCACCGAATCGAATAATAATTATAATGTTTCTACCAATACGAATAAGGAATTATTTGATTCGCAAGTATTCGAATAAAGTAATTATTCGATCCGATAACATGAACCAAATACGAATAATACAAATATTTTGATTTGATTCATATTTTTTGAAGGAATAATTATATGTCATATCTCCATCCTAAAAACATACTTCATGAGACCACTAATTAATAATCGATTTATCAAACCTCTTCATTCTTGTTCGAAGTTCCCTTTTATATATAATGGATATTAAATGTATATTAATAATCTATATTATTATTATTGTTATATGATAATATTAACTCATACTATATATTTGTTACATTTTGAAGGTTTTTTACCAAATTTATCTTAATTAATCCTATCCTACTATTTACACTAGGCTCATAATCGAATTTAATTATTTAAAATTGACACATATTTTAATTAATATATATATATATATATACTATACCTAATGGATATATATCCAAAAAATATATTACATTATTAGAAACTTACACTTACATTTATATCGGATAAAAATGAAATTATTTTTATATTTTTTTTCCCTTATTATTACAAAAAATTCATTCTGAAAAAATTTTTTTTTAACAAATACATATAGTTATAGTTATAATAAGTTGACATAAAAATTAATAATAAATTTTAAGAATAAATTTCATTTCATCATAAATTATAAATATTTTTTTTTATATAAAGTAAAATTTTTTAGAAATTTGGTAGCTTTTTTTGTATTTTTTTTTTTGGGTGGATCAAAAAAAAAAAATTGATAGAGAAAAGATGTTTAAAATGAGAACGTGTAAATAATTTACCACCAAAGAATCTCATAAAATTGATTCGAGAAAATTAAAATTACTTGAAGAAAAAAAATATTAATTATGTTAAAATACCGATATTTAATAGTGTGCTTTTGTTTGATAACTTCCTCTGTTTCAGATCAGGATGAAAGAGCTGAGATCGCGAATAATCTCGAAGATTTCCCCATTTCAAAATTCGCACGTTTTTCTATGTTCTACCCAGTTCTTGAACCTGCTCAATCGCCTGGGAATCAATTCCAATTCAGTTCCAAGACATTTCAAGTTTCGAAGAATCCTAAGGACAAGAGGAGTAAAAATTTAACGGCTACGTCATACGAGGACGAAGAACTTGCCTATATTCATCCCGGTTATCAGGAAGTTACTAAAGGTTTAAATAATTGTCAGAAAATTTTACCGGAAAAAGAAATATTTTTTTAAGCCTAATTTTTTTAAAAAAAATGTCCAGAAAACTCGGGTATATTACATTTCGTGACATGTGTTGAAATAAACAATTTTAATTGAGGGTATCAAATTAGATTTTAATTTCTTTTTTAATGATTCTTCAAAGGAACATTTCCTGTAAATATTTTAAAAATTATAAGTTAAAGTATCATTGTAACCGCCTCAACTCAAGTAATGTTCAAGTGAAAGAAATTTTTTTAATTGGACGAAATACTTATTTAAAATTAAATTAAGTATCTGAAGTAGGTAAGGAGCATTAGGATTAGAAGGTTAGAGGTATATGGGTTAGGGTTTAGAATGGCGTTTTTTAAAAAAATTTAATTCTTTTTAATAACCTGTCAAGTTCTGACATGTTATTATAAATTTACGAATAGAAATTTAAATAAATCAGCTGTCCTAATGGAAATCTCATCGAGTTGAACCGCAATCAATTAGTCAAAAGCCAATTTCTTTTCATATCTTCAAATTCATGGATAATATCCATTTATTCATTTTCCGGATTATTGAAATATTTTTTTCTTACAAATTTTTAGATATTAGATAAAACATCATTTTATGAATTTGCATAAATATTGAGTAAATATTTATTTTTTATCTATTGTGACTCATAAATCACCCCATGTAATTTTGTGACTAAAAGAAATTGCAAGATATAATCTTAATTTTATAAAAATTAATCCGTTGAGCTATATCATACCCCGTTTCATGGTTATCGCGAATTCGCGTACACGAAATATGATATAAATAATGTAATAATTTTACATAAATTTTTGTATACTCCAGCGCAGATTCTCTCTAAACTGGGAATGAAGAGTTACATATTTTTTTTAAAATAAATAAATAGCTAGGAAATCCCTTCCCCCTCATCTCTATCACAAATTTGTTTGTTTTCATTAAATATCACTTTAAGCCAAAAAATCCCCCCCCCCCCTATTTAATCTCAAAAAAAAATTAGTTATACAAATTAGTTATTATAATTATAAGTTTTATTAAACATTGATTTTAGTATAATGCTTTTATACTATAATTTTATACATTGTATCCAAAAGTTAACAAATCAACTAAAATTTCGTCATTATTTTTATAAAAGAGTCTTGCCTATATGGCAATTAAAAGGTATCTTGATACAAAAAAATGATACAAAAAAGAGTATGTATACATGGCATATTGGATATGGTATCTATAGGAATTCGGAGTTTCTCAATTTTGTTCATCGTTTACTGACGGTTTAAATTTGAAAGAGAGAATTTGCCCGGAAATGCATTCCAGCTTGTGCAGAATATTTACCCTACAAATTTCAGACAATATTTATCATAAACATTTTGTGTATTTTCTAATTTATATGAAAAATCGATTATATAAATTGAATAAAAATGTTTTAAGCAAAATTATTGACAAAAATAATCAATTTATCCTAAAATTTGGGAAAGAATTTAGGAATTATGTAATTTTTTTTACAAAAAAACTGTTTTCTATCAATATCTTTTTGTTTGTTTGCTAATGTGAATGAACATTAAGCTAGATGTCAAATAATAACCAAAAATTAAAGATAAATCCAACTAATTATTATAAAAATAAATAGAAAAAAACGCTAATAATTTTTATGTCTGTTTTAAACTCTGCCTTTAAATAGTAAAAAAAAATGTAGAAGATAATAATCGTTTTTGATTGGTTAATAAATTGCCTGATTCTAACATCAATATTTTTTTTTTGTAAAAAAAGGTGAATGAATTATGAATTATTTTATATAAACAATTCTTTAACATCTATTTGTCATGTGGCGAAAGCTCAACAAATATCCTATTAAATACTAATCCACATCTCTTAAAATATGGCTGAATTCTCTAACTTTGTTTTAGTCCACAAATTCACTATCGAATTTAAATTTTTCCATGATTATAAGAGACCTGCAGGCAAGTCCGGCCCGGTTTTAATTTTTTCAAATATAACCGAGCCGTGCCTAAAAAATATTTTTTTTAGACGTATATTCATGAAATATTTTAAATCGCCATTATTAGCTATAAAAATTAATAATAAATAGAATATATTTTTTAAAAACATCCAGGCTTGTCGGAAAAAATAAATCCCGGGCTAGGTTTGGCAAAAAAATTTTTAAAAAAATATCCGGGCCGGGCCATGCAAATAGTAACTATGTAAGTAGGTCTCTGGTTATTATGGAATTATCTATCACATCTATATGATGATGTAATAAAATAACCCTAATGAGATTTTGTTGTAAATTTTAGGAAGAACATCAACTCTGTGTAATAAAAGATACAAAGTTTTTCGATATTTATCTTCTTTTTTTGTGAAATGAAATTATCATTTCTATTTTAAATTAAGTTGAGGTAATCAGAATTTGAGTAATTTATTCTATTCTGTTTAGAATTGTTTATATATATATGCGGTAAAATCATAGAATGATTTAGAACATATTAACACATTATATTATATGAAACATAATTTTAATTATTATATTTTTTAATTAGCTTTATACACTTCTCCTAATATATCATTTGACTTTTTAAAATATAATTAAATACTACTCCTTGATATTCTTTTTTTTAAATTAGTTTTTATACTCTTCTTGTTTGACTATAATTGCCGAAATATATTTTTCAAAAAAAAAAAGATATAAAAATTTTCAAACGAAATAAAACTATCTCTTTCTTAATCTTAAGATTAAATTTTAAGATTAAAATTTTATTTTTTTGTAATTTTGTTAATAAAACAATTCCATTTTTTTCCCCCAATAATGACATCAGAGAGATTTCTATCCAAATAAAAATGTAAAGATGTTATTTATAATTTCTTAATTTGGAACTTTACTCTAGTGATCTGCATGGGGCCTAATTTTTCAAGCCTGGTCCTAAATTTTTTTTAAAAAGTTTTGCCCAGCCCGGCCCGGCCCGAACTTATATAAATATAGAAATAAATTTTTATAATTACTCAAAATAAAAGATATATGTTATATGGAATCTAGTTTCTATATATAAAATCAAATATTTTTATTTTACATAAAAAAATTCAACATAAAATTAATAAATTTATATATATTTTAAAAATTTACACCGACCCGGCCCGAATTTTCTGAAAAAATAAATATAGACACGGCTCGAAGCCCTTTCGGGCCAGGCCAGGTACGGGCCGGACTTACTTTTGCAGATCTCCACTTTACTCACATAATAAAAGAGTGGTCCAAATAATTTTTTCGAATTATTGAAATTTAATAATTTCGAATTAATGTTATTTTAATATTTTTTTTTCAATTTTTTGAAATTAACAAAATTTATAAAGTTGAGAAATTTTATCTAAAATTATAAAAATTAATTTCTATATTTAAATAAATTCGGGACGGGCCTTCCCGGTAAATTTTTTTAAAAAAAAAATCGGGTTCGGGCCGGGCCGACAAAGCCTTCTAAAAAAATTTCGGGCCGGACCGGCTAAACCTTTTTAAAAAAATTTCGGGCGGGCCAGACTTGAAAAATTAGATCCGATGCAGATAACTAGTTTTTATTATATTCCTCTATTAGATATTTATTTATTTATTTTCTTCATTTTTCTTTCGGATAATTGCAATATTTGCTTTTTCTATATATAATAAAATTAGGGTAAAAATTAATGATTGATGAATTGTTGATCTTGATAAGTCATCACTATGAACACCATTATTACTACTGGAAGCTAAAGATTAAAAAGATGATATTTAAGATCTTAGCACTAATTCTTACGGAAATATGCCCCCCCCCAAGACAATCCGGGAATATCGTATACGTTAGAGATCGGCAGGAAGTGAATGACTTATAAGATTCATATAGGTTGTTTTTTTTGGTTGCGGATAAAATATACGCAGACAACTATACTTTAAAAAAAAGTTATGTTATATCATAAATTAGACACATTTCTTTATAATGCATTACATTCTTAATTTTCAAAATCAAATAGGAAATCTCTATAATTGAAAAATATTTTTTTTAGATTTCGTAATCATTTCAGTAGATTTTGCAATCATTATATAATGGAGAATATTTAAAAAATTACAGATCTTTTTTTTGTAAAATGACAAATCTCACTTCCATCGGACGTATTATGGATGATACCTAGTGTTGTTAAACTGGCATGATTGAGATTTTAGCCTAATAGTTTTATTTATAGGCCTCAAGATTTGGCAAAATAGAAGAAATCTTTCTACCTCTTAATCATGCCGTTTTTAATCGACTCAAATTGTGCATTTAACAACACTAGGGGAGACCCTTAGATATTTCAAAGGCCACCTAATGATTATTTTTTTATAAAATTGAAAGCAATATTTTGTACATAAGGAAGTTGCTGAATCCAGAGTTTGATCTCAAAAGATTTTTTTTAAAGAAAGGAAGATTATTTTGAAAATGTTCAAATTTTACCTAAATTTTAAAAAAAATTTATAAGTAAATAAAATTTGTGATTTTAATGCATAAAAAAATCTATTATGAATTTCACAAATATTTTATGAAAAATTATTTTGATCTTTAAAAAAATCCTCAATCTTTCTGATCATCAATTTGGGGAAAAAAATTTATAAACGCTTTTATGAAGACTTTTGTTAAATCCTGCTCCATTCTTTAAAATAATACAATCAGTCTTCGTGGCATCATGAAATTTGATTTTCTAAAATAATTTTAATTTAACAAAAAAACAGTTTATTAGAATCTGCTGTTGTCTTCCAAAATTATGAATACTGGATATTATTAATGCTAAGTAAAATTCCAGATATGTCACTGACTTATAAAATCATTTAATCGAGAGTTGAATGATACCTTGATACTACTAAAAAAAATTATTTATCAAATATAACCAATTGAATTTTAAAATTAAATGGATTTGTATTCTATATAAGTGTATACATAGTATATACTATATAATATAAAGAGAATTACAAAAACAAGA